AGATGAAAAATCAGTAAAGAATTAAAAGCAGAATCATGTCTGATCTATCAAGACAAAATTGACGATTCTTATCTGAAATGACAAGAGACAAGAATCTTGCAAGAATACCCACAAGAACGTAGATCAGTGATATAGACAATGATGATAACAAAAAAGAAAAAGAATATATACGTAGGGTTAGTAGGTACGTACTGGTCACAAAAGAGCTTCACAGTTAAAGATGTAAGCAGATGAAAAGAAAAGTGGGGACAAACGAAAGGAGTTGGCTGCGGGCTGGATCCATCGAGCCTTTCGCCACCATCGGCGGCGGCGCCTGAAAATTTCGCATTCGGCTCGGCTGCAGCTCAGCCGATCGGCTTACATCTCTAGTCATAGTCATAACCCAAGCATGAAATTTCATAAGATATAAGCTGGCTACTCTTGCTGAAGAAGCACCCGCTTCTCCACTGCCTGCAGCTAGAGTAAAATTTAACGGGTGTAGGCTCTCCGTGCTATTTTCTCGAAACACGTGACCAGTATATAACTACTATTAATAGTTATATAACTACTATTAGTAGGTATTAGTAGTTATATACTGGTCACGTGTTTCGAGAAACCCTATGGTTAAACCCTGCGTATATATATATATTCTCTTTCTTTTTTGTTTTCATCATTGCCTATGATGGATGAGAATAAGAAAAGGCATTTGCGTGTTAGAAGAAAAGAACAAAATGAAGAAAAATACAAATAAATTTCCTATTTGACTCCTACAGAGCGTACATTTCATTCTATCGGCTTCATAGTATATTTTTATGTATAAGTATGTGTAAGAAGAGACAAAAAGTACACACAAGGTTGGTAATCGATTAGTGGATGAAAAACATGTATAAAGAGATGATATCGTGTGTTGAACATTAACGATGGCAGATCATATGCACAAAACGAAAAGAGAAGAAATCATGCGTGATTAGGATAATGTACTCATATCTTAACATTTTAGTTCATCCTTCTTGTCTCGCTCTTGTGCGATGTATATAAGAACGAAGGAGAAATATGTCGGAATGACAGACGGTAACACCTTCGATTCTACTACAATTACTATGTCATAAGAATACTCTTACTTATATTTTCTAGATTTGTCTTTTTTTGTTGATTAAACAGTCATGTCTGGATATTACCATTATAATTTGGTAGATAAAGGAATACGTAACTATCCTGGTAGTCCACATCCACTGGGTGCACATTATGACGGTCATGGAACGAATTTTGCTTTATATTCTGAACACGCTACAAAAGTTGAGTTGTGTTTATTTCGAAGAAGTCATGATGAACAACAAGAATTTGTTGAATATGCTCGAATTATTATTAAAGGTAAAATGTGTGTTTTTATATAGCAAATATATGGTTGTCGAGTTGATTTGATTTGGTGACACGCAAAAAAAATGTCGAGGGAATTTCGAAAATGAGAAGCCATTTTCCTGAAATAAAAATATTTTTGAGTAGCTGTTAGCGCAGACTGCCAGTCTGGATGTGAATTGCTATCAGAGAATCACTTTTTTACTCTCATAATCACTTATTCCACAACAAACCTTGTTACGACTGCAGCCATCTATGCCTTTCTCTAGTCTTCGACGGGTCTGCACATCATAAATCTGTTTCTAAAGCTACTTCAAATCTCTTTTATCTCTAGCTGCTATTTTATAGCTTACTATAGGTAAAGTTTTAATAGAAATTCTGTTAGGGTACGTAGAACTGACTATACTGATTATGAATAACGCTTTTTCTGTTTGAAAAAACAAGTCTAAAGGCGAAATTTTCTTAAACATCAACTCTTTCCGCTCAAAGTCCGATGATCGTTGTCCAGTTTTATAATCAATAGAAGAATAACTGTCCAAACAAGTTAGAAATTTAAAAATGAGTAAGTTTTATCGGAATGTGAAAAAATTAGGCGAAACGACCGTACATTGATAGTTTTATTCGCGGAATACAAATGCTATTATGAAAAGATGAATTAGCATGCAATATTCCGGTCTTTACTGTAAGAAAATACATACATTAACCAATTAGCCAATAATGTCAGTTGATGCGCCACCTCTACTTAACTATATGTTCGTTTTGTGAAAAAGGTTGGAGTAGTAGAAGTAGTGATAAACGTAAAATACTATCAAAATTGATGTGTTAAATCTAACTTTAGATAGTTAATGAAAGTTTGAATAAACATAAACTTACCTCCTTACATGTAGTTTGGCACTCTCTCTGAATATGCAACTTGTAGCAGAGAATGGTTTTATTGTACTTAGAATGAAATTGCAGTTTCTGATTTAGACGGTTGGATAAAGTGCATATTAATTGTTTTGAGGTAGAAGACTCGAAGTGAGCAGAAAAATCGAAATTTTGTGGAGAAAGTTAAACATAATAACATATAAAAACGTTGAATATTAGCTAGTTTTCATTTTCATAAGACTTTAGCATCACCTGTTTGTGAACCATTCAGTTGGACAAGGCGTTCCCATTATCGTAATTTCCGTCGGTATTTTCACTTTCTAGGTAAGGTGCCGGAAATGCAACATTCGAAAATTCTAAAAAATGCACTAATTGTTAAAAAGATGCAAAAAATGTCTAGTTACTGTTCTTTGATAACCTGAAACGTGAAAAACTGAAATCAAACATATAGTTCTGGCAACGTTCAAATACTTTACCGCCAATAAAGTTAGTCATTTTCAGGCTATAGTCAAAATTACCGTCTCGTACCCTCCGACCCATCAACGTTTTTCCCTTTAGAGATGAAGGCAACACTTTTATATCATTACACTCCTATTATCAGTGTTAACAAAATAATGCGTTAATATATAGCTTTGAAATATTTCACCTCGGTGTCGAAAAATTCAGTTTTGAAAAACCATAGCAAAAACCAGAAATTCGGCCCGTATTCTACCATTTTCTCGATCTAATCCCAACGTTTTGACAAAAACAAGGTCATATGTCGAATCAGCGCCAAAACCTGAGTCGAATGGCATATGTTTAAGGAATTTCAAATGAATTCAAAAATTCTTCGATTTTTTTAAAAATTCAAAATAAGAACTTTTACTTAAATTCTCAAGTCACTTACAATTCCTTAA